TTTATTTCAAAATTTAAGTTCCTATAATATAAACAATCAATAGGCAAAGTTTCACAAAATCTCAGTGCAGGTTCTATTTCAGTGGAATGACCTTAAATACTCAAAAGTGTGTAACCTCCAGCTTTAAATACTAACATACAAAAAAAAAAGAAACCACTTAATTAATGTAGAATAATCGTTCCAGACCTTTGGAAGCAATGCCTTTTCCTTCCTCCACACATCTCCGTTCGTACTTGTCAACGCATCGAATGTCCTGACATGCTCTGTGGAGTTTGGTTTTCCTTGTACTACGATCTGACATAAAACAAAGCAATAACACATCATTGCATACATTGTCGAAGCTTCATTATATTCTGTCTTCAAAAGAGTAACGAACAAAGTCAGTGTTTTTTGTTCCATTTGAAACGGTGGCTCTTGTTGAAAGGACAGCATGACTATTTGATATTTTCCTTCAAACAATGTTTTTGAACAAACCATTTTCAGCTGCATAGGAGTCTTGAAAGCGATCTGTAGAAACTGCCCACTGTCAATAGATGCAGATCCACCAACTGGAGACCAGTACCCGGCCCCACCAAACCTTGCTTGGTGAGGACTGTGACCGAGTGAGAAATGAGTTTCTTTGTAAAATGAGGATGAAAGAAATTGGCTTTCCTTGATACCACCACTCCTCATTCCCAACGGTTGTACACAAGATGAATCTATTATGCAAGATAAATAAATTAATTTTTGTAAACACCTATATATAGGAATCTCAAGTACACCTTCTTCCTTAAACCATCTTTCTGTGTTTCTCGAAGATTTGATGACATAATGTCGGGTTTGAAATTCTGGGGCCCAGGGGCCCGTTTCTCGAAAGCCCCGGAAACTTTTCGAACCCGGAAAGCCATAGCAAAATCGCGAACCTTACGATGGTTACAGACCTGTTTTATTCACTTTTTCTTAATATGAACAGAGGTTCCCTTCATACAAGAAGTTTCAGACGTATACACTTCTCCGTTTCTAGAAACAGATGAAATAAAAATAGCTTCACGGGCCCGAAAGGTTTCCGGGGCTTTCGAGAAACGGGCCCCTGGATTCTAACAGTCCCAATAAATTTTGATTTAGTTTTGTTGAGTGCGACCTCAAGTGAGCACATGATTACAAATATAATTTGTTTTTATCGTTTACTGCATTTCGTTGTTTTCACACGGGTGTAATTTCGACGAGAGTGTGTATTACATGTCTCTTTGTTGGAGGAAATCTTAAAATACCCTCCAGCTCCTATCTTTACGAGCTCTGGAAATTCGCTGGAAACCGAAAATATTATTTTTAGAAATAAGTCACCCAAGGGTATCTTTGAGCAAAATATGAGCAGTTTGCCGAATGGATCGCTCAACAGCGTTTCTCTATACTAAAAGTTGGCCATTCGTAAATCTGTTTCTCTTACAAACCTAAAACATAGAAATAAAATGACGTATAAATGTCCTCTGTGATTTTCTCGACCCTTTCTCCAGTGTTAGGGTCTGTGTAACTGTCTTGATCTCCGCTGTATGACAATGTTGCTATCACGTGACCAACATGCAGGCGACCAGCCTCGGTGAGTCTATCGGGGTCAATAGACAGATCATATTGACCTGAGAATACATCTTGTAGTCGAAGTCTGTTAAACTGAAAAGCAAAGGCAGAGTTATGCACTTACGACCGTCCACGCATTACTTGGCATCTTATAGCACTTTTTTAAGTGGATAGAAAAGGGATCGAGAAATCGACAAACAAGACCAAGATGAGATTGTTATCGGCCTATTCAGACCGTGCGTCTTTGAACTTCTTGGACTAATGACAATAAACTTTGGGAAATAAATGCTGGGAAATAGATCTTATCAAATAAAGAGCCTCTTCTTTTTCATTTGTGGGTTCTCACCAGCATAAAGAAACAAGGTATAAACAATAAAGAAACAAGGATGGTTAAGGATGGAGAAGATTTTCACGGGTTACAAACGACGAACTTGAAAAATTTAGGCTTAGCTTTTCAAGATGCGCAAACCGTTCATCAATATTTGACACACATAGGTTACCTGGTGGGTAGCCGGGAATGAATGAACGACTTAATTGTCTAGGGGACTTAGCTAAAGCACTATCTAGCGACACCGCATAGATAACAATGCTAACAGTATGACCTTGCACATTTTAAAAATAACAGAGTTTTCCAGAATTGCATTACCTCTATGTTGTTTTCTTGCAGAACGTCTGGGCTTTTTGATTCTGGAGTAGCAATAAACGAACTTAATTCTCCTTTAAATGACACCTCGCTAAGAAGAGTTACTTGAGTTGCATCGGATGACGAACTGCAGTCGTGTGTCAAATTCAAGTGGAGTTTTGTTTTGTTTCTAAGGGAAATGGAGAAAGAATAAAATAAAACAAAATAACGGACTGAACAAGTGATTCTTGAAAGGCGAATGATACAAGAAAAATAAAATTATCTGACAACAACAGTCCTCGTGATAGGTCGAGTATTCGTCATTTTGTTTCTTGCAAATAAAATGTATCCTTTACACTGTTTTTCATACCCATTTTGACACAGCATTTATTTTCTATTTCAATTCTTCACAAGGTTTGAGCAAATAAACTTAAATATTATCATTTTCCATATCTATTTTGCTTCCCGTAAAAAACCTTTTGTTTCTTTATAATTGGTTTCTGCAACATCGCACGCAATAATAAAACCAGGTAGTAATAGATGTCTCCTTATCTCTGAACCCAGGCTCCTGACTAGTCTAAAAGAAAGCGGTGAAGGAACTTGCTCTCGTGATTGTGTACTTTCTTGTTTTAAATACAGCTTCAAGATTTTTTCCCCTTCTTTTCTAAGGATAACTTATTTAGGGTTCTATTTTCGTTTCCGACAAAGTCAGGCTAAACACTTGTTTAGTGGTTTCCATGTAATTGCTACCATCAGTGAAATTTTCTTGCAACGGTCGTAATTTGTTTCGTATTGTATATGGAAACCAGCTTTAACTTTGACTTCAGGTGGAATAATCGATAATGCATCATAACATGATGGATCGATTAAAAAAGAAAAACAAATGCAGCGTAGAAACAAACAAATACTTTAAGCATAACAATAGCTGGAAGAAAATTAGAAGAAAACAAACTTGAGAAGTGCTAAAATAAAAAGGAAGTTATAACTCAACTTACCCTTGGAACAATGGCTCGGTATCATCTACCCTGAGTTGCAATTTTAATTTTGGTCCCCTGTAATCAAAGCCAAAAGCCTGTAAAAAGAAAGAAAATATCGGTTGTAAACAAAAAAGGGTGTTAAACTAAACATCTGGTTACCTTAGGATGACCTCAGACATCAAAGCCATGAATAGTTAATTAACATCTTGTTTCCTGTTTTTGTAAAAAAAAATTCAGCAATTTCTGACGGTTTCTGATGAAATGGACTTATTGCTTTAATACCAGTAAAAAACAAAACCATAACAGACTGACGTTTGAAAGGTAGTTATTTGTAATTCCAAAAATTATCAAAGATCTCTCGTAATGTTAGTTCCACAAATGTTGTATTTGGTCTATTTGAAGCATGTGTATCTTTATCCCTGGTTGACAGTTGCTCTTGTGACTTAGAATATAACCTATAGTATCAAAAAGCAGGGTTTCTAAATGCGGTTTGTCCAAGAAATAGCTGAGAACTGTTCAAATGTTTAACTGCCAGCCGAGAACTAACGTTTTTTCTTTTTCTTTTTTTTTTTTAACTGAAAGGCAAGATCTGAGATCTGCAAAATGTACCCGGATAACTACGAAATCACCGAAAACTCCACTGATAACTGAGAAACCAGCACCTCAATCGAGACCCTCGTAAAAAAGGAGAAAAAAAGAAGCAGTACATCGACTTCATTGGCTGAAATTATTAACTCTATATACGCACCAAAACGAATGTTTAAGAATTGTTATCGATAATGAGATACACGAGACAAATATAAAATCCTTATTCATATTTCGTACTTCCTAAATTACACCTAAGGAATAATAAGAACTACTATGTTCGATAGACATTCACTAAAAGAAATGCAGCATTACACATTTTAATGTTTATTTACTTAAAAAAGGGTTCATACTCACCTTTAAAAACCCTAGACTCAAAATTACAATCTGCATTAGAGGGAAACGTCTTTCCATGATGCTAGACACGCACTGCATTCCAAGAGTGTTTCAAAATTTATCCTTCGAAGAGAACACTGAACAAAATACAACAGGAAGTTTTGCCATGCAGGATGTTTTGTTACGCAATATGATATGCTGTGTTGTTTTCCCTTAATCTTTATTTTGATCTAACAGAGATTCCAGTCGACAATCACACCACCTTGAGGCCGTTTCATGAATGTGCATGGTAGCGGGGGGTTATAAATTTAATTTTGTTTAATGTCAACAATTTATTGAACAAAGAACGCTCTAGAAACATGTCCATCTGCCAATAATAACAACCAATAACATTATGGTGAGGAAGTCTGAAGTTAAGTTTAAAGGTCTAGACGAAGGTGATTAGGAAAGCAAATCTAATTCTTAGCATTAAGCATTTGACCTCAGCCGATATTGCTTTGCCTTAAATCACGAAGTAGCTAAGGATTAATTTAGACGCTATGACGCTTTCGAACGATATCCTCACCAAACGTTAACTTTATTGTCCCTTCGTTTCCATTTCTTTGAAAAAAAAAACAACAAAAAAACAAAAACAATGAAATATTTATCATTACTTAAGAATCATGTGCGGTCGCTTTTATATTGGTAAACAGATGATAATCGGTCTTGGATTCGCAATGGCACCCAGCAAAACGAGTTACTACAAAAATGTTTCGCTATTACATAATTTTATAAATGGTAACAATGACTTTTCCCCACTAGAGAAAGTTAACGTTAATTAACGTGCATAATCTTTTAAAATGTTTTCAGTTCTACTCCTTACGGCAATAACAAGTTGACAAGGCAAATTTATTATTATTATTATTTTTTTTTTTTT